TGCAGCCATAGCAGGCAGGAGGGAAGGAGGCGAATACCTCCAGCGCCAGAGACTTGTAGAGGAAGAGTCAAACTTTGGGGACTCACCCGTGCACCAGAGGGCCAAGGCAGTAGGAGGCAACAAGCCTGGTCGAGCTGGGCTCCTCCATGCCTGGCAGAAGATGAGGTGCAGAGGCAAGAGGTGGGCAAGCAGAAGAGGCACTCAGCCAGCCGCACAAGCTGCGTGCAAAGAAACTCCCGCCGCCCCAAGCTTCAGGGCTGCCTCGTTAAAGGAGTGCGGAGGCCAGACTCGCAAATGAGAAAAAGCAAGCTCAGGGTTCGTGGGTCGCATTTTGGGCTGCGGAAGAGGAACCGGCTCCATTCCTGGAGTTCTCTCGAGTTCCTGAGCTTTTGGTTTTGCTTCTTGCCAATCCGCCTCCCAAGACTGCTCCAGGTGCTCCGGCCTGAGGGCTGCTGGGGGCGGGGCTCAGGTGCTCATTACTTGGGGAGCTGAGGCTCAATGTCTCCAGCTGCTCCGCCACCTTCCCTTCCCTTGGTTTGCTTGGGGAGCCCGAGCAAGCTGGCTGCTGGAGGGAAGGAGAGGCAGTTTAAACCACCTTCCATTCCCTTGGCTTCCTCAGGATCCCCTGCTGGGCCAAATCAGATTCTCTGATCTGAATCGGCTTCCCGCAGTTCGACCCCATTATATCCTATGGGCCATTGAAGTCAATGGCAAAAACATAGGGTATATTCTGGGGGCTGGAGGAGAGGGGGTTTGAGGGCGAGGCTCCAAAATCACAGGGTAGCTGCTGGAGCCTCTCCCCAAGATACCCGCCATGTTTCAGGAACATTAAACCAGGGGGTCCAATTCTATGGGCCCCAAAACAGGTTGCCCCCATCCCCTCCATTGTTCTCTATGGTGGGGGAAAAGTTACTTCACAGCAGTTACTTCTGGACACAGCATAGACTGATCATGTTTATTAGAGACTTACCATCATCCTTCCAGCTGCTGTGCTACACTAAAGGAATGCCATTGGGCTGTATCTGGGCTTTTGTTGAGCTGAGAACTAAAAACGATTCCTGAATAAGCACTGATGTAGAATGGCTTTTGAGGCGCTACTGAAATTGTGATACACGTACCAACAATATTTGGTGTCTGCTAGAGAAAAACAGTCAGCAGATATTAGGCATGAACCCACCTTTTTGCCTGGCTTGCAAGTGGGACTCCCTTCGGCATCTCATTCCTGCCCCCTCCCCCTTTCTCATGCAGAACACGGGAAGTCCCAGTTTCAAGCAAACTCCAGTTACCATTAGTGGCAGACACCCCAGTTAACCAGAGTGATTTTGCCTCGACAAACTGAGATTCTAAACAGTGTCATCCAGGCTCCCTGCTTATGGAGGGGGAAATCACAATCCCCCATAAAATCCAGAGGAGCAAACATCAGCCCACAAGGAGACAAAGGCGAAATCTGCATTTGTCTTTCCCACCAGTGTCCCAGCCTTTTGACTCCGTCTTCAAAAAAGCTGTCTACGTTTGGTGTCGTTTTCACACCTCAACAGTGCCAGCATACTTTTGCACATCCACATATGTTTATCGTCCTTTGGGGCAGCTCCACGGTCATTGCACCTCCACGCTGCTTTAAAAGAGTCTTCTCCAAACAACACTCAAACAAGCATAGAGAAAGACGGCGTCACAGCAGCACGAAAATGATTTTAAAAATGCAAATGCAGATTCGGCCAGAATCCTAGCAGCTTAATTCCCAATGCCGATAGAAACGATTGAACTAAAAAGCTCTCTGCTGAGAGGCAAGACGCTGGTCGGACTCGTCTGCTCCTTCTCCAGAGCAATGCACTACACCCACACATTCTCACACTGTAACATAATGACACCATCATGTAAGAGAGACCACTTCTGGTTGTCAATTGTGGTCCATTATCTATTCAGATCACAGTAGGGAACTCATCTTTCGGAGTGTGGTAAAGATTAAAGCATCAGGATGCAATGGCTGACTCCCTGACTTGTGAGAGAGACTCTCATTAAAGAAGTCATCACAGTGATTTCCTCAGCAGCAACGGATTCAAAATAGAGCTCCCAAGAAGCACCAAAGCGATTAATCCTTCACAAAAATTAGTACAGCTACATCGGCCGGGCAGGGGGAGTTCACGCAAAACTGAACAAACCTTCGCTTCACTTGTTGGATGATCTGCCAGAGACGGTGTAGTTTTCATTCCAAGAGTTAAGGCCGCGAAGGGAAGGGAACACCAAACCGAATGCCTGCGAGTGCTTTTTAAAAATAGTACTCACGAAAGCCGTGGGAGTCATGAAGAAATGGATCCCAGTGTGATGGCGAGGGCTTTCCTGCCATCTGGAGTTCCTGGAAAGCAGCTCCAACAATAAGAGGCAAATACAAGAGCATCCAGGGCTGGGGAGCGTGCTGCTGCGTGCACGTTGTTCCTTTCTTACCCCACTCGTCCTGCTGCCCACCTGTTTTTCCTTAATTGTGAGCCGACACAAAGAATAGCTCACAGATCCCAGAGTATTCATCTGTTTAGAGCCTCTTCTTCTTTCTTCAAGGAGCTTCAGGAAGAACATGTGGGATCACTGATCATTGCAAAACTTTCTGGTGTGACCCGGAAACAACTATCAGTCCCTTCCCCTCCACAGGAGAGCAGCCTAGGGATGCCAGCCTCCAGGTGGGATCTGGAGATCTCCCGGAATCATAGCTTATCTCCATAGTAAAGAGATCAGTTCCTCTGGAGAAAAGGGATGCTTTGGAGGGTGGCATTGTACCCCACTGAGGTCCCTGTCCTTTCCAGGCTCCACCCCCAAATCTCCAGGAGTTTCCCCGTCTGGGTCTGGCAACCCTACCCCCCCATCCCCCACTGGTTGTCAGGGAGGATCTGGCAACCATAACAGGTTCACTTATCTCCAGAGGTCATTTTGGGGGGGATCGCGGGGGATCGCAGTTCCCCCGGGTGAGGTACGGGGGCGGGGCACATGACGAAGCCCCGCCCCCTGCTTCCGGCCGCCCCACTTCCGGCCCTCATTCAGCCAGGAGGAGGCAGGAGAAGAGGGAGGGTAAGTTGCTTCCTCCCTGCCTCTCCCCACCCCTGCCTGCCTGGGGCCAGGGAGGGCCTTCGTGGGGCTTCCTTGCACTCCCGCCGGCCTTGCAGGTCCACCGCTGGGCCCCTCATGGGGCTCGGCAGTGGAGCTGCAAAGGTCGGCGGCGGCGGCCGGGACCGTTGGGGGTGGGGTGTGTGGCCTTATGACACACTTCCGGTGATGTCAGGGGTGTGTGGCATATGCTAATGAGTTATGCTAATGAGTTCCCCTAGCTCTTTTTCTGCCAAACGACCCCTGCTTATCTCATTTTATGCTCACAGCTTTATGAAGCATGTAGAGCTAAGAGGTAAGAACCAAAGGTTTGGGGGGGGGGGTTGAACTTTGGTCTCATTGGTCTGTGACTAGCACTGCTATCAAGAAATGCCATACAATCCAAGGGAAGCAGAATAAAAGAAAACAGGAAGTGGTGATGCCGAGGCTGATTTCCCACAAGGTGCTGCTCCGCACTCATTCCTCCCTTTGCTGCGCTGCCAGATTTTTGCTCCGCAGCTTTTCCCGATTTCCCCCGCGGAGACGGAAAAGACATAAATTGAAATTGTGGGGAATCCTTAATCTCACTATGCTAACTAGCAGTCCTCCAGATGTCCTCTATAAGATGTTTTTGAAATCTTTTTTAAGTAGGTGCACTATAGACCTTGTATATTCCAACAACTGACTGGCATATTTTTCAGCCAATCAGTTCACAGCCAGCAGTGTGCTATCAGGAAACAGGGATGTTGGGATCTGAGCATGATGTGCTTAAAGAATGACTGTTCTTGTGGAAGACACTCATGACTACATGAACCTGACTTATGCTGACTCAGACCATTGGTCCATCAAGGTCAGTAGTGTCTACTCAGACTGGCAGTGGCTCTCCAGGGTCTCAGGCTGAGGTTTTCTAAATCACCTCTTACCTGATTCTATGACTAGAGGCCAGGGACTGAGCCTGGGTCCTCCTGCATGCCAAGCAGATGCTCTGCCACTGAGCCTCAGTCATTCAGGAACAAGGATCCCAATACTTCCGATGACCTCACGCCCTGACCCTCTTCTACCCCAACCCAGACCTGGGCAATGTGCATCCCAAAATTCCAGCTGCATGGCTTTATTATGCAAATCATGTCAATGAGTATAATCCAGATTAGTGGGCATCACTCCTTTCACTGCAGTCTTTGGATTTCCTTCGTTCAGTATTTCAGTTTGTTTATTCCGAATAATATGATTTGGCCGTGTCTTCCTCTGCATTGCCTTCCTCTGCATATCAGCCCCAGTCTTCCTTGGTGGCCTCCTACCCAAGTACTGATTGTGGCTGATCCAGTTTAGATTACAAACTCTAATGAACTCAGGCTAGTCTGAGCTATTGAGGTGGCTACATCCCCACTCCAGGCGGGTCGGCTAGATGTCAGGTAGCCCTGTCATGGCATTGGTATGTGGGGGTGATGCTCTCCTCCGCTTTCCCAGTGCCTCTCTGCCCAGCAACTGAACGCTATCGCGGCTTTGACCTTGCCGTTCCCAGCTGTGATTAGACGGCTAGGAAACTTAACGGCTTGCCTGCTTTGCAGCTTATTTTGCTGCTTGCTTTGCCGTGCGTGCCAAACGTAACCATTGGCTTTTGCTACTGGGGGAGTAGTTCGAATTTACGATAAGTCAGGAGCCACTATACTACAGGTCATTCTTGACACAAGCTGTATACTCGTTCTTTAGTTATGGACTACCAATAAAACCACTTATCTTCTCAAGAAGCCTGGGGTGGGGTGGTGCGAGCCTGCTAAGGAGCTTTACACTAGGCTGAGTAATAGCTGCATGGCTGAACTGGGACTTTAACCTGGGTCTCCCTGTTCTCCTTCAGGCTTCCTAACCCCTATAGCCACCATTGGCTCCTACAGGGGTCATTTCGTAGAAAAAGAGGTGCAGGAGCTCATTAGCATAACTCATTGGCATAACTTATTTGCATATGCCACACCCCTGACATCACCAGAAGTGTGTCAAAAGGCAACACCCACCGCTCAGGCTCCACTGGACTGTTTTGGATTGCTAGCTATTGGGGAGGGGGAGGAACATGCAGATCTGTCCTTGCAGAGGAGGGAGAGCTTGTACCTGAATAAAACTTGGCCTTAAAGGTGCCACTGGACCGGGGGGCTGGGGGGAGCTCTGCAACATATCTGGATGCTTCTTGCTCTGACTGAGAGCAGGGGGCGGGACTTGTTGCATGTGCCCACCCCCTGGGCACTTTACTGCCGGAGCTCTGCTCCTGTGCGCTCCTGCAGGAAATGACCCCTGGGCTCCTAAAAGCAGAGGAACTCATCTCAGAAGATCTGTTTCCTAGCAAAAAACGTAAGAGAAAAGGAGCAGTGGTTGCATCCAGAGCTGGCCAGCTCCCTCAGCACCTCCACGTTCTCAGTCAGGACAGAACTATCGGGGAAAGGATCCAGATGGGTCCCAATGGCGTACTTGTGTGAAATGGCACCTGAAGAATCTTCTCTCACCTGGCCTCGATTCTGATAGCCAAAAGGAAGAAGATGTATGTGGTGATGGCCCCGGCAGGTTGGGCTTGCTGGGCCGGAAGGATTAAGGAAGGGAAGAAAGTGGGGGGAGCAAGAACACCTGGCATCTGCTGACTTCCAGCCTTTCGGCTTCTCAGGCTCCCCACAAGCCTAGTTGTTGCAACGGTCACTGTAACAGCAAATGGTCTCATCCCACATGAAGAAAGTGGGCAGATGTTCATCCTTGCAACCTGGAAGACAGCCAACTTCAGACTTGATAACAGTGTCTCCTGGAAACAGAAAGAAATCGGACATCGCAGGTCCTGCATAATACATCATATTCCATCACCACCCCATCCTTTCAGCTGCTTAGGTCAAAAAGGGCGTTTGCACAATACATGGTTCATTTTAGAACTATAAGGCCAGTTTGGATGTGCCCTCACTGTGTTAAAATCAAAGGTACTTTTCATCTCCATGGTGTGAAGTATATGCCTCTGTGTGTGTGTGTGTGTGTGTGTGTGTGTGTAAAGATTTTTATCAATGTGCTACAGAAATGTGCAAAACGCTACAGAAATAAGGGGGTTTTACAAGCATGTCTCTGAAGTGTGCAGGCACATACCCAGAATTAAATTCTGTTGACCTAGGTGCCACTGGACTAAAACTTTGTTCTGTTGCTTCAGACCAACGCAGCTACCCACCTGATTCTAAAAATAAATCATGTTTTGCATAGGGCAGATGTGCTCAGAGCGAGGCTTGCAATCTGAGTGTCTTTTGCGATGGGCGCTTACCAATGTAGAGATTACTTGTGTAGCAAGCTGCTCCTTCCTCTGCCGAGCAGAATTCTTGAAATTCAGGACAGGCTGCACCTGGAAACGGCTTTTCACATTTAAAACACTGGATTGTGTTGGCTGAAAGATCGGGGTGGGGTGGGGGGGATAAGATCGGGGTGGGGTGGAATTTTTGTTTTCAATTACTACATTTATTTAAAAGATTTACATCCCACAGTCTTCAGAATCTGACCCAAGAGGTGAACCTGGGCTGTGACCACACTTGCTAGATGTACTGCAGCCATTATTTGCAACTGGAATTTCCTGTGAGGACAACACCCAATCAGCTACTTCCGTTTTTGTATCTAAACGTGAGTGGGTTGTTTCGGAGCATCTGCTTGACTTTGTCCCCTGATCATCCACTTTCGATGTTTGTTGCCATCTTTGCCAAATCTGATTTGGCACGATGCTTCAGGAAAGATGGCAATCAAAGCCCGTTAGGATGCTGCGTGCATGGGAAGGGGCACATCCATGCAGGTCTCACAGTTTCCCTGTTCTGTCCTCACAGTTCCCACCCCCCTGCTGCCCCCATAGAAGTTCCAGGGTCTTTTTAGAAGAAGAGTTGGTTTTTATACCCCACTTTTCTCTACCAGAGTTGTCCCCACAACAGATACCTTGTGAGGCAGGTGGGGCTGAGAGAGCTCTCAGAGAACTGTAGCTGGCCCAAGGACACCCAAAGGAGTGGGGAATCAAACCGGGCTCTTTAGATTATAGTCTGCTCCTCTTAAGCACTACAACCATGCTGGCTTCATTATCCTTGATAATTATCCTTGATAACTGTAGCATTAAACAGCATTCTGTAATAGCTTTAAGCTCCAGTGAGGTCAGTCAC